TGTCAAGAGCCCTGAAATGAATTTTTCTGTATGAAACTGTGTGTTTTTACAGCGCAGTGGAGATCTTTTTTAAACGTTGGAACCTCATTTAATTTTGTGACTTATAGGGTTTGTAATGAGTAAAAGATTATATAAGCATAATAATTCATCTGTAAACCTAGAAATGTACAGCCAATTTTGAAAGAGATGTGCCCGAGCTCAGAAAAATGTTATTGAATAGGTTAATGCTGTTGTAATGAAATGCTTCTTTTAATCAAAATTTTAAAAAAATTGACAACGTCAATAGTCATAAGCCTTCACAATCAAGAATAATGAGCTAGATATGTGTAGAGTCAGGAAATTCATACACACACACACACACACACACACACACAGTGCAACAGACCCTGATTTCTATTGAAATAAGTTCTGTATGGCCATAAAAGCTTTGCAAATACATAAGCAATAAAATTAATTTTGGTGTACATTCAATATATACTATGATTGTGGTAAATGACAATAATAAAGATGATGTTATCATAAAAAAAATGTATGGCTATTCTCTGGGAGTTGGGAGCTAGCATTATCCAGGAATTCATGATTACACACACTATATATGCATGCAGACATATATATATGTATATATATATATATGCACTATTCATATATTTTATGGAAACAAAGGATTTCAGAACATCATGCCTTTCTCATTTCTCTAAAGATGATTGGAAATACCCTGTTGTGACTGTCATTGAACATATACATATCCAGCATCTGACGAGCAATGTAAGTCTTGACAGCTCCTGCCAAGGTAGTAATATTGCTTGTAGTTGCTCTCAGCTGGGCTTTCAGTTCCCTGCAACAGGCACGAACATCAACAAGGTCAGCTCATTTACCTACAGTGGCAGTGACTCTATCCTCCTATGAGCGTACGTGAGAACACAGGTTTAGAAATCCATGGATTTAAAAAGAGGACTAAAATAACTGAAATACAGTAGTAAGAAATAAATTCCCAAAAGATCTTTTCAATATTTTAACTGATGCTTAAGTTTAGAAAGCTACAGTAGTTTATTATAGATATAAAAGTAAGTGTATAGACTATCTTTGCTTCCAGAGAAGAAAACTAAATATGCTGGCATCAATATTCATTTACATGAAAAGTGGTTTCAACAATATATTACTGGAATACATTTTGAAGAAAATATAAAAGCAACGTCATGGCTGACTAAACAAATTATAATGAAAAGGACTATATATGTACTTCGCAAAATAGGTTGTGATTATAATGACAACCTATTTTTTTGTGTGTGCATGTACATACATGAGACATTAAAGAACATGCCAGGGTGACAATTCTCCACAAGTTGGTTTCCAGGAATTTTTCCCATTTAAAAACACTTGAATATGTATATATTTATATACTAGTATCCACACAACTATATGTATATCTATGCATATGTATATAAAAATAAAAATCATATGATTAACTAGAGAATTTTATGTCAGAAATTAGAAAAAAATTGACTAATACAAATGTGTAGTTTTTCTAATACATGGTGTTACCATTAGGGTTATTATGCTTAGACATGTTTTTGCAAAAGAAATATTTATAGGTAATTAACTGTCTATCAGAAAATGTAGAAACATAGCATGTTACAAACATAGTATGTTACAAAAATAAACGGCAGGCCTCTGATCCTGCTGATGGCCAGAGGAACATCATTCTTCCCTGGTCTTCTCTTACCTATAAGTTAAAATGAACACTCATCTGCCAAAATAACAGGTAAATGGCTTGTTTCATGTTCAATTGCTGATCCATTTTTATGTGCATTTATTAAGCAGATACTGAATATAATTAATAATTAATATAACTATACTTTTCATCATTTTATCTCAAATATTTCCTTTGCTGAAATAAAAAAACTCACACATAATTGTACAGACTTGGTTTTCTATTTTTCCAGTACTGAGCCTTCAGGTTGCCATCACAAGCTACTTACATAAACCTAACCCTACCTACATTGTGTTTCATAGCTTTGAATACTGGATACTACTGACGTCAGTTCAATAACCATAACATGAAGATTCACTTTCTTCATGAAAAATTGAAAGAAAATGTCATGTAGAAATATCACTATATTCGGCATTGTCAAGCAAAATTGTTCTAAGATTGAAAATATCTGAGATGTTCATTGGGTTTGACTGAGTGATGAAAATCTGCACATACAGTGTAATTCTAAAGCAATAGTTCTGACAATGGACTGTGAAGATTTTCTTAGTAGTGATTCATTGGATGTACATAATGCTAGATACTCTAAAAGATATTTGAAGTGCTTCACTTTAGACATTCTATGTGTTATCTATTATAAATTTCAATGCAAGAATTTTTATAGATCCAGCCAATCAACATTAAGTCTCTTCATGGAATGCAGGTGATAGGATTTTTGGCAAACAACAATCAAAATTAGTCAATACTATTTTCAATTTTCCACAGTCACTTTCATAATATATATTCTTGAAAAGGGAAACGCTGGCTACCAAACACCTATTCTCCTGTGAGATTATAAATGCACATATAGTTTTTAATTCTACATGAAAGGCACCATTAGAATTATCAACTTTAAAATAATAGTAGATATTCAGTATTCTACTAAATGGCTGCTGTTTTAAGTAACAGAAAGATATCACATATGGTATTCAAGGATTTGTCATTTAAAACCGGACTGTAAAGGAATGTGCTATATCCAAATAATGCTTGTTGAAATTCCCTCACTTCACAGGGTACAAAGGTATGAAGAATTTTACAGTGATTCTAGGGTATTGTTTTCCACTCCACTGATTATTGTGGCAGGTAATTAAGAGTAATAAAACTGTTTTTGCCTCTGCTGTGCAGATAATTTCATTAATTTTTGCTGACACTATGTTTACCAAACCAATTCATCATCAGGCTAGTCTGAAGTACTTGATGGGCTGTTTTTTATGGCATAATAAAGGACATGGACATTACTTTCCATATTACTTACTTCTTCTTAATTTGTTATTAGATTGATGATCACAAAGAAACAGACTTCCCATGTGTATTTAGCCATTGATAAGGAATACTGTTTCACATTATCTACTTATTTTTGTTTTATAACTGGGGACTACACAGTGAGTTGCAACTTGAGGAAGGAGGGAATATGCTACCTATAAGCCACATGTTCAACCAATATTTATGAAATTTATGTTGAGTTATATATGTGATGAACTAAACTATCTGATGTGGAACACAAAGATGCATGCTGTGTTGTTTCTTTTTAAAGTGTGTGTGTGTGCGT